GGACATAAGAAGTATTCAGCCACACCTGAAGGTTCGGGGGAGAATTCAGAGGTTTCTCAAGGGTTACACAGAGCGGAGAAGGTGAGATGAGAGATGAAGGGTCAGACGAGAGGAAATGAGAAGCGACGCGTAAAGTGGGAGAGAGGAGAGAGGTATAAGGATGAAATGATTAAAGGGTTTGGGGTGAGGGTATTTTAGGGAGTATTTGAGTAATGAGTTGCCTAAAATAGAAAGAAGACATTTTTTTCGGGACAGACCGAAAAGGAAAGCAAGACATTTATTTCGGGACAAAGGGAGTGTTTTTTATTTTTGAACTAATTATCTAAGCATGTTTTCAGTTTATATTCTTATCTAAGCATATTTAGTGGATGTTTTGATTTGATTTTAAAGCTGCTTTTGCTCGTTCAGGAAGCAAAAGTTGGAGTGTTTGGGTGAAAGTGCAGAAGTACTTCTGATGCTCTAATTTACCCCTGAAAACAATTTTTTTAGAAGATGGGGAAAACCAGCTTCTGAAAACTGATTTTATTCTGCTTCTGCTTTAAAAAAGAAGCTGAAGCAGATTCAGTTTAAAACCTTTTTTTGGGGGGTGTTTGGAACTGATTCTGCTTCTGCTTTTAAAAAGAAGCAGAAGCAGAATCAGAATAAGTTTTCAGAAGCAGGTCTCCCCCAACTTCTAAAAAATTGATTCCAGGAATAAATTAAAGCACCAAAAGTACTTATGCACTTTCACCCAAACTCTCCAACTTCTGTTTCTACTCTCTGAAGGAGCATAATCAACTTTAAGAATCAGATCCAAATACCCCTTAGTATGTCATTTTTTTGCTGCTGTGAGGATTTTCTATAAAATTTTCGAAGCCCAATTAAAAAAACTGGAGCCCATTTTTTTTATAACCTTACGTACGCCGCCATCCTATAATCTAGGGAATTTTACAGAAATAGACTAAAGAACGGAAATAATATCACATTTGTTCCTCCTCAATTTTCTTTTCAAAAATGGACCGTAACGGAGTTTCTTTTCACTATTAAACCTTCAACTCTACGAAGTACGGAGTAATTCCCTACGTAAGAAAATGGTGCAGGAAAAAAAATGAAAATGTATGTGCCAAGTTTATAGTACTCCATAGTACTTTATACGTACAATTATACGTAGTAATATAATACAACAATCAAATTCAAAAAAGCAAAAAGGTACAGAAATAATATTTTTTTTTACCGTAGGTACAGAAATAATATAAAAATATAAAAACCATAAAATTGTGAAAAAAATTAAAATTCTGGAAATTAGGATACAATTAAAAATAAAAACGAAATATGTATATATTTATGAAGATAATAAACATGTAAACTACAAGGAAAAAAATAAAAAATGTATAAAAATAAAAAATATTATACACTTGAAAAATCTAAAAACCAAAATTTTATAAATAAACATGTAAAAGAAAATATAATTTTTTTGAATCTATTATAAATATCAAACATAGTTATATATAAGAATTAAAGAGTAATATGTGTAATATACAAAGAGAAAATACATAAAAAAAACTCAAAATACATATATAAATTTTGAAATTTCCATAATTTCAAATTAATTTGTATAATAACAAAAATAAAAAATTAAATTAAAAAAATAATTTAATATAAAAATTAAATAAAATTAAGAGAACAATGTTTTAAAACTGTTAAATAATTTCAAAAGTAATTAGGATTTTTAATGACACAGTAATATTTTTGAAAAACTTGAAATATATTCATATTAAAACTTAATAAAAAGAATAAACTAAACATATAATTTTATATATTAAAAAAATCAAATCAAATCTTACAAAATACTAGAAAAAATTAGATATATTACAAAAAAATATAAAAAACAGAAATTTAATACTCAGGGTATATATCTTATAAGAGTGTAAAATTAAGAGATAAAAAATTTGAATTTTGTAACATAATATTTCTTAAAGTACTTCAGAATATCAATTTCCCTTTTATTGTTAGTTTTTTGGGCAATTGTTTCTTTGTGTTTCCTTTTGTTGATGACTATGAAATTTTTGTTTTTTATTGTTTCTTTGTGTTTCTAGTTGTTGTTTATATTCATAAATCCAAATTTATTATTTTAGATGTTTGTATATAAATCTATTCAGCTACTTTTAATTCAAAGAAATCTAAATCAACAATGAAAAATAGTAAGCAACACCATGCAACAAAAAGAACATAGTGCAACAAAATGCAACACTATGCAACAAAAAGTAATATGGTGCAACAAAATGCAACACATTGAAACAAAAAGCAATACATGCAATACAACAAGAAGCAACAAAACATATTATACTTCATATAAAAGTATCATAATGAATACATCAATATATCATCTCTAATCAACAATAGTGGCATACACCATCAACTAGGAGTCACCTAGATGAATGAAACTCAAGAAAGCTTCAATGAAAATGACGAGAAGTCCTTTTCGTACAAAACCGGGCAGTAGCGGTTTCTAAAGTTCCGAAGATCAAAATATAAATTTGACCATAGGATATGAATCTAGTGCAGTAACAACATACTAAAATTTAATGAGTACTGAAGTTCATTTAGTCCTCGATTGTAGCCAATCGATCAACTGCACTCTAGGGGAAAATGCTTCATCCTCTCTTTTTCCTCCTCACATACCTTTTCTGTCCGTTTTTTTGTTATCCTCTTCTCTTGTTATTATTAGAAGTTAGAATGAAGAAAGCTAAGTTTTGACAATCTTGAGGGAAAAGCCAAGTTCCAGACTTCCATGTTGTATGATGGGACCTGCACCCACATAGAGCATCAAAGTATTTACAAATTAAGTTCCCATGGACTATTTTAAACTGCATGGAGTAATATGCATATATAAAAAAAAACATAACATCTAAAAACGGATTGTGCATCTATTGGTGTATTTTCTTTGATTCTTTTATCATGTCCATAGGAGATGCTATGTTGAAATTTAAACATCTCTGTAGGTTGAACCCCTTGCTAAATACAACATATTATGGATGGGTTAGATTTTTCATATCCCTTGCCCCTTGGACATAATTTTTTTCATGTCCCTAGGAGATGCTTGGAGTTTTTTTAGTTTAGTTGCTCTCAATTTTAATGAATGGGTCAAAATATGACTAGGATGTTGTTGTTGATGTGATTAAATTATACCTGCAATGTCATCACAATTTAAATGAATGATTTCAGAAAACATCATTGACATGAGCAAGACAAAAAAAACAGAGCTCAATACTAGTGAATAATGTTCACATAATGACATAATTGATTCAAATAGAAATCCAATATATACAAATAAGTCAACTACAGATGCTAATTAAGGTAATCATCATTCTCCTGGAAGTACACTCAATTTGAGTAGCCAATATAATGAGGAAACATGAGCAATTTGGATATTGTCCAAAAGAAGATTCATCTGTGACTTAGGTAGATATTCTAATAGGTAACATTGCAGCTTGTATCTCATTGAAAGAAAAAATCAGCTAAAACATGAAGTAATATAGCTAAATACAGTTGAATAATAGATTCATAAAATTTGGCTCGTAGGTGTATTCTATGTTGAAATAAACTATTAATATAACACCAATACTATTAATAAATAGTTAGTTGATGCATATAATTCCAGAAAGTGAAGCATAACCACTATGATTAGCAGAAAATAGGCTCCTACTGTAGCATATTGGCTCCTACTTTACTCCGGGAATAACATGTTAAGAAACCTTGTACTATCCTCTTAATAAGAGAATTTCATTAGTGACTAAGCACTCTCTATAGAAACAAAATTCATTACAGTTGCATAAACTAAATATAGTAGCACAATCCATGACTAAATTGTAGCATACAGAAAGCAATTGCAACAACACACTTACCAGAACAGTCCTGGACTCCTAGGCTTTAACATCACAAGCCTCTTGACTACTTTCTTATTCCTCTATGTCTTTTTCCGCAGCCGTCCTTACCGTCACGAGTGGTGACGTACCTCACTGGAAGAGGCAAAAGCTTCTCAGAACTGCTCCAATAATTGCACTCCCGACGCAGAGAGATCTGAGATGAAAAGATGAAATCGTATAGAAACACTCCGTAGTTTATATGTTTTTTAAACATCGAAGGAACAACAATGTTAGAAATCGGCGATGGAACGATTAGTCAACTGATTTCTACCCTCAGATTGTTCTGCTGTTCCATCGCGGCATCGCATCAATTCATTGAGGGGGAGGGGTGTTTGAGCTACGCGATCGGAGAGGATGAGTGGTTCAGAGATTAAGATCCAGGGATATGTGGTCTGTGTAGTACGGAGTAGTTAGCCTATTTTTGAAATAAAAAAACTAGAAGTGATAAAGTGGAAGTTTAAATATGAAAAGAAAGTCCCACGGGGTCATAAACGATATGTAAGGGGTAATAGTGGCCTAAACGGGTAATTACCACTATAATCTATGCATGGGCAGCCACCCCGTTGACCTGTTTGGATGGAGTGTTTTGGAAGTGTTAGTGAATGTCCGGAAGAGAAGAGAAATGTAAGCGTTAGACATAATTCTATCTTATTTGGGAGTGTCAAATAAATGAAGTGTTCATAATTTTACCTTAAGACAGAAGAAACGAGTAAGGAGAAGAGGTGAAAAAGGCAGACCAATGAGAATGATATGTCGAAACATTTTATGTTTATACGGTAAATGAGAGTGATAATAATTCTCCAATACCTCAAAACACTGAATAAGGATGTTAAAGTGGACAATTGAGGTGTTCGCTATCCCCAATTACTAAGGATGTTTTTACTTGGACTTTAATTTGTTTGTCTGGTCTGATCTGATCTGGTCTGAACTGATCTGGTCTGGTCTGGTCTGGTAAGGTCTGGTTTCTTTGTATTTTTATAACTATCCAAGTCTGGTCTGATTTTATAACTATCCAAGTCTGGTCTGATTTGAACTGGTCTGGGTGGGTGTGGACAAATTACGGTCAAGTAAATACATCCCAACACTCTCGCACACTCATCCTAAGTCCTAACAAGCCGTTAGATTTCCGGTGTTCACCCTCATAGCCGCCAGCCAGAACTCTTCCACCGCCAACAGCTAACATGCCTAACAATACATTCACCGTACACAGATAACCTTCCCCTTCTACAAATTCACCTACAAACTACAATCCCTTTTTACTCCAAATTTTTATGCTGTACGGACACTGGTATTTCAAGCTCCTGCCCGATTTCGATTCGCATCACCAACCCTTACAAATGACTCCCAAATCAGAACCGGTAGGTTTACATTCCATGAAACTATTATATTTACTACGCATTATTCAACTCTACATTCGTTTATGGTCGATAACTTTTGGCGGGTGATAATTTATGTGTTCCCTGCATCATAAAATCTTCCGGTTATGACAATACATTTTACAGTGGAGTTTAGCCAAGTTCTTATCCCTGCAGTGATTAAATTCAATTAGGTTTTAGGGTCTTTTAATTGAAATAGATAATGTGTTCCTCATGTGTACATTACATCCAAACAAACTTTTAGTACTTCTTACTATAAATATATAGATCTGATATATAAACAAAGTTCATCCATTTTTTGGATAAGGAAAGAACTTTTTGGGATTTTTTAGGCTTTTAATGTGGAATGAATAATTTTTTAAAGCTTATTGTTGAAAGTTTGGGTTGTTGAGTCGAATTCATCAGTAATATTGTGTTTATATAGTTTTCAGGCCATTACTTTAAAACTAATGATGGTAGAGCTCGTTACATATGAATTATACAGATTTTGGACAAGTGTTGGGGAAAAAATAAAAAATACCGAAAAATAATCATAAACACATATTGATTTGAATATACTCTACTGATCTTATGTATATATGTATGCATATATACATTTAATAATTTTTTAGTATCAATACTATAATCTAACATTTTTACTGTTCTTATTTTAAATACTGAAATCAAAGGATTATTTTTCTATTTTGAAATCAATCAAATATGAAATGAACACAAACTTTAATTTGTAATCAGTCAATAAAGACGCATCTTAAAAAATTGAATCATAGTATTTATAACATGATTTTGAAGTCCTCTAACTTTGGGATATAGACTTTGAAGCTACTTCCTAAAACAAAATTCATAACATATTTAAAGTATACGCTATTAAAAAACATGAACTATAACAAAAAGTAATAAAATTCAAACCTTGAGGCGATGCTGGTCATCCTTCTTGGAGATTCTTCTTTGATATTCTCATATTCCCCATTAATCAAATAAAATTCATATTGACAATTACGGAGTATTTTTTAAAATGATAAGCATTTTCTTAAGTTTTATTTTCTGACTGTAAGAATACCTAATTAATGGTTGGCAACTGCCGTTTCAATAGCTTCTCCTTTGACCTGGGTTTTAAATGGTTGGATATCTTCCTTTTCAACTTCTTCTTTGATTTGGGGTTGTAAATGGTTGATAATAAACATTTTGATCTGAGTTGGCACACTTTTAACTAAATTTGATACACTGGATCTGATCTGGATCAAGATCCCCATTCCCCAAGACAACCATATTGAGATATATAATTCCTTTATTTACAACCTATACTTTCATTTGAAAACACAACAATTGTTCAAAACCGCATATAGATATATAACTGCTTCTCCCGAAGTTAAATAGCTCACAATTCCTTTTCCAGGATTTATACACATGTATTTCAAAGTATTGCATACCCAAGTAAATCATTTTAGATCTTTCAAGATGATAACATATGTGTACACAATATCTGACAAATTACACACACCATGGCTGCTTCATATTTGCATTCATAGACACACAAACTTATGGGATTCTGTGTCTATTTTTTCCTTATGAAACTTTAATCAAGGTCCCTATCAAGTGATAGGGATCTACCTATATTAGGAATTGGGCCTAATAGACTGTTAGGAATTGGGCCTATTTGAGCAAGAATAATAATAAGTGTATTAGACTACTATAAATAGAAGGAAGTCTGGGAGGGGGAAAGTAGGCTTTTAGACATTTGGCCTTGGGACTGGGAAGGATACGAGACTGAACATCTCGATCTTTTGGGGCTTCGGCTTTGGGGGCTTCGGCCTTGTTCATTGTTTCTTTTCTGTAATCGATATCTTCTTGAATAAAATTCTTCATCTGATTTCTTGTTACTCTTCTTGTAACTGTTCTGGAATCCGGAGGTATCTATCATTGGTATCAGAGCGAGTCGATCGCTGGATGAGACAAACTCGCGCGAGGAAAATGGAAGGACGTATGATGGCCGTTGAACAAAGTTTGGAAGATATGCAGAACAGGAATCGACAGGAGATGCGTGAGTTGCAGTCGAACCTGGAAAAGAGTATGGCAGCGAACATGGCAGTCTTGCAAGCGAGCATCGCGGCTTTACAACATCGACCGCCTGGTCATTCAAGAAGTAATTCACATCACTCCTCGACTTCTCATCGAACATCTCATCATCGCCGGCATACGAGAGAGGAAGACAGTTCGGAAGGCTCAGATCATCAGTCGGTTTCAAACCGAAGTCACAACTGTCACTATAATCATCGGAACCATCATCCGATAGGGAGGAAAATAGATTTACCGTTTTTCAATGGACATGATGCTTTTGGTTGGCTGGTCAGAATGAATCGCTATTTCCGCCTGAACAGAACGGAGGAGGAAGAAAAGATCGATGTAGCTGTTATGGCTATGGAGGATCAAGCCTTAAGTTGGTTCCAGTGGTGGGAAGGTCAGTCACCACATTTGACCTGGACGCAATTGACGAAGGATCTAACTCTTAGATTTCAGCCGGAACTGGTGGAAAATTCTCTTGGGCCTTTGTTCAGTTTAAAACAGACCGGGTCAGTTGCTGAATACAGGGACAAATTTGAGATAGCCATGGCCTCGCAAGGTCACTTAACTGAGGAAGTGTTGAGAGGAGCCTTTGTGAATGGTTTGAAGCGTGATATAAAAGCAGAGTTGAAATTATATTCTGCCAGAACCCTAGCTGCAGTAATGAATACATCTACCTTGATTGATAATAAAAACATTGAAGTGAGTATCATGAAAGGTGAGGAAGAAGGAAGGAAGAAGGGGCAAATTAAGAGTCCTAACTTGATTCAATCTCAGAGCTGGGGAGATGGAAATAGGTGGAAGAGTCAATCTTCTACTTCTATGATGGGGGCCAGAACTAACACAGACCATAAGAGTAAGGAAGAGATGAAACTGCCTGAAGAAAAAAAGAGTGGGCCCAGATTATCACAAGAAGAATTACTGGATAGGAGCAGGAGAGGGCTATGTTTTAAGTGTGGGGATCTATGGGGAAAAGGCCATGTTTGTAAGATGAGAAACTATAAAATGGTTTTGGTAGAGAACTCTGAAGGAGAGGAAGCTTCTGATTTTGAGGATGATGATTCTGAGAAGGAACAACACATTACAATGGAGAATAGAACAATGCAGTTGACAGTGCTAAGCAAGGAGGGCATACCTGCTATGAATAATTTCAAAGTCAAGGGGTATATGGACTGGTACAGAGGAAAACAGCTTGTGAGTGTGCTGATAGACACTGGAGCAACCCACAACTTTATATCTCAAAAGTTGGTGGATACTTTGAGTATACCTTACATTCCTATTCAAGGTTACAAAGTGCAGATAGGCAACGGGGAGTGTATACCTAATATTGGGAAATGTGATAAGGTCAGATTGGAGATTCAGGGCAATGAATTGATTCAGTCTTATTATGTGTTAGAACTGGGAGGCATTGATATAGTTCTGGGAATGGAATGGCTGGTTGGGTTAGGAGATATGGCAGTAAACTTTCAGAATCAGACCATCCAATGGGAGGTACATGGGCAGAAGGTACATATACAAGGAGATTCTTTATTAAGGCAACTGGGAGCTTACAAGGAAATGAAGAGCCTGATAAATAAGAAGGGAGAAGGAAAATGGCTGAATTATCAGTGTTTATCAAAGGATGTGGAAGGAGGTGTACAGAAGCATGAAGTTGCTGTCCCCTATGTTGCAGCAGGCTGCACCTTGGTCTCATCAGAATCTGTAGGAATCAAAGTTTTGGATAAAATGTTATGGCATCTGAGTAACTCTGCTGCGAAATACATATGGCAGAAGATAGAAGTAGCAAAGCTAATGATCCAGCAGTCAATCAAGTATTGGAAAGGGAGGGGGGCTAGGATGAAGGCAAAGAAGGAAGTCTTGGCTGTTTCCTATCACCCACCTTGAGGGCAAGGTGGATGTTTAGGGAGGGAGTATTGATAGGGATCTACCTATATTAGGAATTGGGCCTAATAGACTGTTAGGAATTGGGCCTATTTGAGCAAGAATAATAATAAGTGTATTAGACTACTATAAATAGAAGGAAGGCTGGGAGGGGGAAAGTAGGCTTTTAGACATTTGGCCTTGGGACTGGGAAGATTAGAGACTGATGATCTCTTCTCTTTGGGAGGCTTCGGCCTTTGTTACTGTTTCTCTCTGTAACCGTCTTCTTCTTCAATAAAGGTTTTACAGTTTGCTTCTTGATATACGAGACTGAACATCTCGATCTTTTGGGGCTTCGGCTTTGGGGGCTTCGGCCTTGTTCATTGTTTCTTTTCTGTAATCGATATCTTCTTGAATAAAATTCTTCATCTGATTTCTTGTTACTCTTCTTGTAACTGTTCTGGAATCCGGAGGTATCTATCATCAAGACATTAGCTTTCTCATAATATACAACAAAAGCCAAAAAATAATTAATCATAAATAATACACAATGTTTAAAATTAATTGTATTGAGATAGAAATAATCTGTAATTCATCAACAATACACACACATTGTTAAATCCATTGACAATATTTGCCTTTGTATATAAGTATATGCTACTTAGACTTTGTGTGTTTTATTACACAGACATACTCGTTGTCATGTTATTCTTGCTATTTTCAGATGTAGAACCTAGAAGCGAGAGTGAATTGAAGAGAAAGGAAAGAGGTAGATCGATCAATTTTTGCAATATATTGCTTGTATTTATAGCAGTACTGTGGTGGCTCAATATTATTTTCATTTTTAATAGGAATTTATAAAAATATTGTGTACCCATGTCCATAACAGGCTGGCACAATTTGACAGGTCGTCATCTACCTTGTGGGAACTCACAACCTTAACTGTTTGGGATCACTTGGGTGAATTTTCCATGCCAAAAGTTCTCCACAATACTCCGTAGAAGATAAGGATGGGAATCGGCGGGGAGAGGCAAGTTTCAGCCTTGCAAATAAATCTAAATGTATTTACTGCCATTTGATCATTTGCGGACAGCCTAGTTCCGTATTACTACTCATTTTCATCTTCAATCCTTGGAATCTTGAGGTTGCATTTTATCTGTTTGCTGCAATGGCTTCGAGTTTCAGAGGAAAGCAGCACATGAAAACGATATTAAAGCACAGTAGAACCCAATTTCTAAACGTCTTCCCTAAAACATCGCAAAATACGCAACAACAAAAATATCTCCTCCCCTGTGTCACACCCTTTTCAACCCAAGCATCCAAATTCCCTGAATATGAAATGCCTTCTGTCACATGGGGCGCAATCCAAGGTCGTAAAGAGAAGCTCGTGTCACGGGTTATAGTTTGTGACTATCTAAAAAGTATAGGTATAGTTCCAGATGAGTTAGAGGATCTGGAGTTACCCTCAACTGTGGAAGTAATGCGGGAGCGTGTAGAGTTCTTGCAGAAAATAGGCCTAACGATTGACGACATAAACGAGTATCCACTAATGCTGGGGTGTAGTGTGAGGAAAAACGTGATTCCCGTGTTAACCTATTTGGAAAAGATTGGGATTTCAAAGCCAAAGCTTGGGGAGTTTGTGAAAAATTATCCTCAGTGTCTAAATGCTAGTGTTGTGGTTGAGCTTGTTCCAGTCATCAAGTTTCTGAGAGGATTTGATGTGGAGAAGCAAGATATTGGGTATGTCTTGATGAAATACCCGGAGCTATTAGGGTTTAAGCTTGAGGGGACAATGAGTACGTCTGTGGCATACTTGGTTAGTATAGGGGTTAATCCAAGAGATATAGGACCAATGGTTACACAATATCCTTACCTTTTGGGGATGAGAGTTGGGACAATGATTAAGCCTCTTGTCGATTATTTGGTTTTGATAGGCCTCCCAAAGAAAATTTTAGCCAAGATGCTTGAAAAACGGGCATATTTACTTGGATATGATCTTGAAAAAACTGTGAAACCTAATGTGGACTGTTTGACCAGTTTTGGCATTAAGAAGGACTTTCTCCCTTCTGTCATAGCACAATACCCCCAGATCCTTGGTTTGCCTTTGAGGGCAAAGCTGTCTTCTCAACAGTACTTCTTCAACCTAAAGCTAAAGATTGATCCTGATGGGTTTGCTTGTGTGATTGAGAGGATGCCACAAATTGTCAGTCTTAACCAACATCAGATAATGAAACCTGTTGAGTTCCTTCTGGGGCGGGGGTTTTCATCTAATGATGTTGCAAAGATGATTGTGAAATGCCCTCAGTTGGTTGCTCTGCAAGTTGGGCTCATGAAAAACAGTTTCTACTTTTTCAAAAGTGAAATGGGCAGGCCTATGAAAGAACTTGTTGAGTTTCCAGACTACTTTACATATAGTCTGGAGTCGAGAATAAAACCTAGACACCAGAGGCTACAAAGCAAGGGAGTCAAATGCTCACTGGCTTGGTTTCTCAACTGCAGTGACCAAAGATTTGAAGAGAGATTATATGGTGATTTTATAGAAGCTGAAAGTAGTGGTCCATCTTTTGTGATGGGCGGGAAGTTAGAATTGCCAGGAACTGAGATTTTATCAGAAGATGATGATGACAGTGATGATGAATTACTTTACAAGCGGACTGTCTCTCTGTGAGTTCAAGGTTCAACTTTCACTTCTCTTCACAATACAAAGATTAATTTATAGCAGTCACAAAAATTATATGTTTAGCCATTGAGTCTAATAAATTCACACTATGGTCATTTTCCTGGTTTCTTTCTTTGGGAAACAATGATTAAATACCATGTTTTAAAAGCTAAACTTCCAAATAAGTCAACCATGTTTATACATATGATTTTCAAGTTTTATGTTAATTGTTTGTGTCAGTTTGATTTGGCTTTGACGCTGAATTTAAGTGTAAGGCTTGATGTTGAAATTGGTGCAGAATCTAATACCAAGATCAGGAGCATTTTTACCATTTGGATTGGGCAGCAGATTGTGCCCCGGAAACGATCTTGCCAAACTCGAAATATCATTTTTTCTGCACTATTTCCTGCTCGGTTATGAGTGAGTGGCATTTGGTGTTCTTCTCTGCATGGTGGTTTCTCTTGTCATTTTACTGAGCATATTTGTTGTTTTGTTTCAATTTGCAGGCTGGAGATAGATAATCCTGACTGCCCATTGATGTATTTACCACATTGTAGGCCTAAACACAACTGTGTCACTGTGTGGGAAAAGTGAGAAGATCAGCCTGACTCTGAGGCTGTGATGATGTTAAATGAAAAAGGATACCCGCCTATAGTGATGATTGTAATGAAACTACGTAAATCATATATAATTTCTGTGTTACTAGCAAAACTTCAATATAATCAAATAATAATAAATTAGTATTATGTGCATTTTTACGGGAATAAAGACACATAATATTACCATGATATACTAACTACAAAAAGTGACTATTTTTTCATTGCGAATTACTCCATATAAGGAATGTCCTTAATTTTTTAATAATAAGGAATCCCTAAATACAGAAAATCTCACGTGAGAAGAGTGCCCACCACTGGAAGATAGCTCTATGAACTGAGGTCTCTCCCTCGTCACCAGGCTCCTCATCGAAGACAAGGATGGCTGAGGGCCGGTCCTGGGGCATGGGCAGGAGGGGCATGCGCCTAGGGCCCTTTGCTCCATTAGGTAGGGGTGGACTCGGGCCGGTTCGGGCCTGGGCCCGGCCGGTCGGGCCCGGCCGGGCCTCGGGCCAGGAAAGTTGGGCCCGAACCGCCGGTGGGCGGTTCCGGTCCCGGTTCCGGGCCAAACCGGGCCGGGCCTACCGGTTCTAATTTTTTTTTTTTTGGCTCTTCTATTTAACTCCCAACCCCTCCCCCTCAACCCCAAACCACCCCAAACCACCTCAAATGGCCCAAAATACCTAATCCAACCCAAAACTTAAAAAAAATTCAAAAAAAAAAAATTAAAAACAGGCCCGAACCGGCCGGGCCGGTTCACCAAAAACTGGGCCCGAGCCCGGACCGCCCAGCAGCCGGGCCGGGCCAAACAGTAACCGGGCCGGTTCCGGGCCGCCCGGTCCGAGTCCACCCCTACCATTAGGGCCCATAAATTTCTCAAATATATATACATGTGTGTGTGTACAACGACATTTTAATTATATATACATCCTAAGTCTATAAAAATTAAAAAATAAGATCAACTGATATTTTTTTAGATATTCCCAATTCGTTATTCAGTATCTACACAGTACAAGTCTATAATTTTGAAACATCCACGTTAGAATTCATTGGGAACATATTTCACCATTTTTTTGAATCATTACGAGTTATTACATTCAATTTGATCTTTTAATTTGGTGTACTTCTCTTATGTACATCCCGAATTCATTGATATATTTCACAAATTTTCTCCGATTCTCTCATTTAATGAAAGATTGAACTATAATGTCCATAATTTAGAAACTTAGAATTTGTTTTTGTCTAGTGAAAATGTGACTTAAAATAAGAAAAAGTTAGAAATAATTATATATATGTGACTAAAATTAAGATTATTTACAAAAATGTAATGATGGACAATCTACCCGGGGGGTATCTTATCCGAGGGGTTATTGCGGGAATAACTAGAGAGAAGTCAGAGCAAAATAGGAGGAGAGAGAGTCGATTTTATTAAATGAACTCAGCGTGTGGAGATAGATGTCGCTCCCTTACAAGGAGAAATGGGCCGCTATTTATAGCAGCAATAAATGCGATGAGAGTACACGTGTCAGTAATCCAACGGCCGAAGGGTCACATCAGCTGGGTGGCACCGGCAGTGGTACGTTAACCGCATTGAATGCGGTTGGCGGATGTGACGTGGCATTAAATGCGGTGGTTGGATGTCTCCAAAAGGAATCTTCAATGATTGAGCGTGTTTGGCCGAAGCCTCCTCGTGTAGCCGAGGGCTTCATGTGACCAAGGACCCCTGTGTAGCCAAAGGCCTTGTGTGACCGAAGGCTTGGTTCAGCCGAAGGCTTCTCTGATGCCGAGGGCTTGATAATACCGAAGGCTCACGTTTTTCGCCGTTTTCTCCCAGAAGCTTCTTGTGTCAGAGAAGGCTACCCTGTGAGTTTTTGGAGCCTTCGGCCAAGGAGGCCGAAGGCACCCCCAGTGTGTATTCTGGGCTACTTTGAGGCTTGGGCCGCTACATTTGGGCCTGAGTTGTTCTCTGGGCTCAATGGACTTGTGTAGGAGAAGTAGGAGTCTATGGGCCGGGGGTTCCTGGGCCATATACTCCATCATGTAACTAATGACTAAAGTAGTAATAAAATCATAGTAACTTATGTTCAATTTTTAAACCTGAGTTACTATGAGAATACATTGTAGTAACAATTTGTCATATTTGTGTAAGTGAGTTTTATTTTAGTAATTTTTTTGTTCAAAAAAAACCCAAAAAGTTACTCCTTATACGAGATATAACTTTCACAACTTTTTTTAATTCAATTTTTTTTAATTGCACGTAATAGTTGCACTACTTGTTTCATTCGTCTGCTTTGGGTACATTGTATCCTGGGATGTGACTTATCAAATGCCCTCTATATAATTTGTCTAAGCATCTGCTTTGTTAGTTTTTTATGATGCTTTGTTAGTATTTGGACGGTAAAATTGTATAATTTTAAATTATAGATTTTATAGCAAAAAGAACATTATAAACATTCCCGCGCTATCCCTGGGACCTAGTCTACTTGTACTGACCCGGGCCCATAAAATGTTAGGCCTGGGATCGGTTCGGTTCTTGTTAAAATTCGATGGAACCGTATAAAAATTGTAGGGTTTAAATTCGGTTCGGTTCTAGTTAAAAAAAATGGTTGTTAAATTCGGTTCGGTTCTACTTAAATTCGGTTCGGTTCTTACCTTTTTTCGGTTCCTTATAAAATTTTACTATCCTCCTGAAATGAACACATTTTACCTTCAGTTAAATAAAAAAATTCAAACTTTAAATCATTAAATAATGACCATTACATTATACGTGCATGATATCTCAATGTTCAAATAAAAAAATATATATCCAAGTGCAACATTAAATTTCAACATAACAAAAATCTCGGTTTAAAATAGGCATCAACAGTCGAGCAAAAAGGTTTGATATCTCCAAAGTACACATTTAATAGCTGGTAGTTCAACCTCAAAATAATATTCTTCTACTAGTAATGCACAATAGGTAAAATGTACGTAGTAATAAACAACGTAATCAATAGAATATTAATTCATTTTTCAGATGAACTCCAATACATTTACATTTACAAACAAAAAATAAATATAAAAGTGGACTAAAGTATTCAAATAATTACTTGGATTGGTCTGGTCCACAATATATAAGGTATATTATGCAAGAAAATATTCTTGACAAATAATTACCCGGATTGGCCCGGAACGCCGCCTGGCCATCTCCATTTGAGGTTCTTCCGTGTAGAATTTTTTGATAAAATTTTGTGAGTATGTTCTACATGAAATATAGATGATATATACCAAATTTCTGCTTAACATTCAATCGGGAAGTGAATTAAATAAAATATTGAAAAACATTGCGTTTTTATATATGTTGGCGTACTGTTTTTCAATAATTTATTTAACTGACTTCCCGATTACATTTTAAGCTCAAATTTGGTGGACATAATCTTTATTTCATGAAAAACATTCTCACCAAATTTCATCAAAAAATTCCACTCAGAAGCACTTCAAATGAAGATTACTCATACAATGTATAAGAAGTTCGGTTCCTGGCTAGGAACCGGAACCGAATTGGAACCGAACCGGAACCGAACCGATGAAATACTATAGGAACCGAACCGAAAAAAGCTCAAGTCCAAAACTCTAGGAACCGAACCGAACCGGAAATTTCGGTTCGGTTCGGATCGGTTTTCCGGTTTTACGGTTCCAAGTCCCACCCCTATAAAATGTCATGGTCCTGAAGACAGGTTCTTGAGTTCTTCCCCATCTCCTCCAATAGCCATATTATTACTTATTGGAAATGTCTTCCATCCCTAGCGCTCACTTTGATTCACGTTCGAGCAAGAATAGCTTTGTTATTGGCTTCACCCTAATCATACCCGTCTATGAGAATATTCTGACCAACTGTGCTTCTTTTCTTCACCAACGAATAGCGGCAGAAGAGGCGTACAGAATCAAACCCTACAGGAGGGAGGATGACTATTGCGTCTGTCTTGCTGCTTGCTTTGCCGAAGGAGAAACACAACAAACATGCGCGGACTTCAAACCCTACTGTGTGGGAAACGGCCGTTTTTTCTTTCAAAAGCTTCAAGTATTTCAAAAATTTATTTTATAAATAAAATGTAATGAGATTATTCCCTAAATAGGACTAAATAAATCATTAATTGTTAAAATAGGAGTCAAAGTTAAAATTTTCCCAAATAGGAGCTATTATTTGGAGTTTGACAGAAATACCCCCAAGCATGGCAAAACAGGACAACAGAACTCCATTAGTCGCCGGCCACCGGCTGCCGGAGCTACCGAAACCGCCGTAGGATTGGCCGTCACTGCACATCTGACAGCCGCCGGTTCAGATCCGACCATCTCCATCGTAGATCTGGACGCCAACCCCGTAGATCTAGCCGGCGGCGGCGTAAAACTGACTGCTACCGCAGGTCCGGCCACCGCCTCTGCGGACCCGGCCTCCGCCAGTGCAGATTTCGCATTCACCGTCACTGATGCCAAATTTATTATCCGAATGCCAAAATGAATCCCAAATGCAATGTTAATGGCATTTTCAAAAGAAACATTAGCATTTTTGAAGAGTGAAAATGCCATTTTAATGGCATTTTTAAATAACATTTGGCATTTTTAAAAATCAAAACAAATGAAGAAGATGAACATTGAGTGTTTGCCATTGTTGTGTTCATATCAACCGACGAAGAGGGAAACAAAATAGAAAGGAGAGATTGAGCAAGAGAACAAGATGCAAGAGAAAGGGAGAACAAACATCCTAAATTTCACAAACAGATCTGAAGTTAAGCTTGTCATTGGCTGTTGCAAAACTCTCACCACCGTTCGTCGTCTCTCTTTCACCAGGTACCCGCCACTCGCTGCTGCTACTCGCGACACCTTTGCCTCTCGCCGTCGCTCAATGTAGCTCACCGCTGCCTACCCTTGCTTGCCTCTGTCCGTCACATTGAAAGTGTTGTTGGAGAGTTGTGCAAGTGTGAAAACAAAGAAATGCGCAGGTTTGAATGGGAAACACGGGTGCTGCTGGATTGAATTAAATGAAGGGGTAAATTGGTACAATAGTCCTATTTAGGGAATAGAAGTATACTTACTCCCTTTTAGGAATTTAAGTAACATTTTAATCCTATTTAGAGCAAAAAACCCAAACGTAATCAAAGTAGAATATGTGAATAATGTAAAATTTACTGTTGTTGC